CTGCAGTGACGGCAGGAACAGCCAAATGTACGGAGTGGGGAGTGCGTACGGAGTACGGAGTGCGGCGCGTCCACCGTTCATTGACAACCGCTGGGCATTGCTGTAATGATCATTCACGGCACATCATCTGCGAGAAATACATAAAGCAGGCGAGCTGGTTGGAAAAGAACATGCTGTATTTGTAAACCCTGGGACGGATAAGATGGAAAAAAACAGACAACAGAGCTCATAGTCTAAAACTCATGGCCGCTTTTTCTGTTCAAAGTGCAAGAGCAAGTTGTTTTTTTCAACATTTTTTAGCGACTACTCGTGCGTGGCCAGAAACGCTAATAAGTGTTTGATAGGTTATAAAGTGGAGGTATCCGACGATAGTAGGAAGCGGTTTTATGGTCCCTTTATCGTAATCCTGTACGATGATAATCCGAATCCAAACGGGCAGTGGCCGGGATGTAACTCAGTAATTCTACAAAAATATTTTTTGTAATAAATAATTAAAGCTAAAAATAATTTTAAAAACTTTCATAAATATTCGATTCTCAAGACAAAAGCTTTTTTGTCTATATTTCTTTTTACACAAGGCGTGGTTTAATATACATAACGTCGGAACAAATCTGGTCAATGTTTTATTAATTGTTCTGCTCTCCCATAGAATCACGATGGAGGATACAGAGCGCGGCCTAAAGAAGACTAAGTAATTATGAAAACTAACGTCAAAATGATTTCTCTCGAGGCTCTAAAATGTTTTCGCTGAAGCTTTCCCAGCGTACGCTCACAATAGAGGCAGGTGCGCCAGCACCGGCAGCTCCTTTATAATCCCTTACGTCCTCCAACCCGATTTCGCTAAGCTAGGGGAAGGACGGACTCGAGAGGTTTGTTGTTCCCTTCTGCCCTTGGATGAGCATCGACTTTCCTCTAAAGTCCGGTTCACAGCCGTATCATCCCGTACCCGGCCGTATGGCGTTACCGGCGACGTGGAAGTGGAGTGTTGTAAAAACAAAACAAAACAAAAAAAAATATGTTATAAGAAATAAAAAAAAGCAACAACTAGAGGTTAAGAGTTTAGGGCGAGGGAAAAGTACGCTGGGGAAGGCGCAGCAGGCGGAATGGTAAAGGGAGGGGATGTTCCCTCCTCTCCTCTCCAGCAATCCGACTGCTTCCTCCTCCCGTCCTGCCTTCAACGGCGTGCGCCAGTGTCACTTGTTCGTGATTTACAAGACATCTACAAAAAATATCGTTGTTGGTGACAGTCGAACAGAGAAAGGAGCACGCCAAGCGTTTTTAGAATCGGCCCTCAAGGAGCTTGTCAACGAGACTGATGATTCAGGTAAGATGTGGCTCTTTATATTTCTTTTAGTGAAAATTGCTTAAAGCGTACTGATTCCGTAAAATTATATTTAAGGCCATCGGAATAGTCTGCAGTCGACTGGTGTTATAGTCAAATAACTCGTGTTCGAAAACAAAAATTGCATAATAAACGGCTTGCCAAAATTGGCGAGCTCATGTTGCAAGCAGGAATATTCCCGGAATATTTATTTAAGTTGACAAATGTTAAATACCGTAATATTAACATAGATATTGGCTTGTCGAGAAAATTCTTACTTAAATAAAAAGACTACAAAATGAAAGACCTCTCAGGGGAAGTTCAGTAAACCATTCATGTATTAGTCTTTCAAAGCATCTCAATCGCTTGGCTACTAGTAGGGCTAAACGTCGGTAAAAAAAAATGTTAGCACGATTAAATATTTTTTTCTTATTCGATTAATTAATTTATTAATCGGTTTCGTTTATTACCATGAATTATATATTAAAAAAATCAAAATGGCATATTTTGCTTTCGCTGAATATTGTTATAAACGGCGCAATATAAAATTCAGGATTTTAAATCAAACTTGATGTGTAGTTGAGATCAGCTAAAAGGCATTCACACTCCCAATTTATTACTCGAGCCGCGAGGGCAAAGAGCTTCCTTCATATTTTCCGGCAATAGCGAACTGCTTTGATTATGCGCTAAACGGGCCCTCGCCAGGCGCTGAACGTTACTGGGACACGTATAACTTCCACTTGCATTACGGCAAAGAAGTGGCTGTCATTGTTGATCTCTTCAAAACTTTGAGGGTATGCGAAGAGGTTGCTGTTTTATTCACTAGGGTACTAGTGTTTTCTATGCTTAACATCTGCTATATTCAACGTTTCACGCTTCTTCAAATCTATACTAATTATTTCTAAGAGCAATATTAATTTTAGACAATAGTCTTTGTTTTCACAGATTCTCAACGAATTTCAGTAGCGCAGTGATGCGATGCCCTATGAGAGCCTCACTGTATTTTTCGAGCCAAAGTCCTAGCAGATCCTCGAACTGCACATGGAGAAGGTGGGCTCACGGAGGACGCCTCGCTATTCCTCAAACATCCGCAGACTAGCTAAAGCAACCGATCAAGAAAACCTACCCATCACAAAGATACAGCGAAACCCGTGTCGACGTCCTCACAGAATGCGCGGTGGGTTAATCACTTTGATCCACTGAACGCTCCAAGCGAATGACGCAGCTCATAACACTGTTTAAATCGAAAACGCGATCTGCGCAGGACAATATTTCCTTTTCCTGCGCGTGCCCAGCAGGGTTCCTTATGATCCCTGACAAATTACCAAGTTAAACTGGCCCAGTTTTTTTTTTAGTTTAGTACATGACCACATCTTGTGCGGCGTTTCGAGAATTGGCGTTGCACTAATTGGGTCAAATTGAGCCAAATTCATATTCGAATTATATGCATCACCTAACCATTTGCCCGCTGCGTACTGGGGACATGATGGTCAAATTTATGTTAAAATAATTTAAACACTACCAGTTTACTTCATCTTGTGATACGTAACCATTTCGTGAAAAGCCTCAAGAGTCTATGCAAAGTTAATGGCAGCGAACATCGAAATCATTACGTGACATTAAAAGAACAATTATGCACTTACACAGCATAGGGAAGCAGGCAATCTCTGACCATTATATCTAAAAATGAAAAATAATACATCGTATAATCATGACCCATGTTTGCATGCTTTTTTTTAAATTGTGGTACTTTATTATATTGCAGGTTCCAGGAGAAAGATAAACTCATCCGACGGTCCTATTCTCACCAGAGGACGTCTTCTATTCTGCAGCTGTCCAAGTCCAGGTGGAGGACCTGTCGGTGGATGTTGGCGACGTCATCCATGGCTTCAGCCTCATGATCTATTGGACTTTTGATATTCAATATGCAACAGGGATCTAGTCCACCTTGGCTCTCCTTGAGCGCACGATCGGGCTGAAAGAAACACCACTGGAAAGGATTACCCTGAAGCTCCTTGGCGGGCCACAGGCTTTTACTAATTACTATTTTTTTAAGGTTTTGACCTTTCTGAAGTTTTTGGATTTTACAATAAAAATGTTGTTGACAATATTGTTGGCTGACATGACTGGCTGGACTTTTTTTTTGATATCTGGATTATGTGTTTCTAAAAGTTTTAGTTAAATTTCGATATCGGCACATTGCCCGTGAGTATTATTCTCTTATCCCTAAAACCTCCTCGAAGTGCCTCTTTAAAGGGAAGATGGGGAGGTTCTTGAGAAATATGAGTTAGAGGCGACTTCCAACGTGGTTTTGCCTAGTGAACTCGAAAAAAACATCTATTTGGCCCGAAAATATTCACAGAGGCAAGAAAAATCCGAAAAACAAGCGCCGGACGCCCCGCGCCCTGCCATTGGCTGAAACTGCCGTGACGTCACGGACGGACCTCTTCTGCTCAGCCGGCCAGCCAGCGAGTGTGAAAATGTCGGGTCTTGGTGCTCATACGATGGCAAGAAATATCGAGGTCGTCCCTTATGCCTTTGAACCGATAGCAAAGAGTTCTAGGAACCATAGAGACGCTGGCGAACAAGGGGAGCCGAAAGATTCTCAGTCCCAGCTCAGCGACATCGCGTCCTCTGCCCGTATCGGCAACACAGACTGGTACGTACTCTCCTGTTTCCACGCTTTCTGCGTTTCTTTACCTAGAATCCCCACGGACGAAAATGGAGATTGCGAGTTTTCGCTGAACACTCCTCTAGTACGCTCATCCGAAGTTTTCTAGATGCGTTGTTAATAAACAATATGTTGGCGGGTCAATTTTCCGATTGCTGGTAAATTGGGCTATGGCCGCTTCACGACTTACTGATTATCGTCGGCCACAATATTCCATAAGCATTACGCTAATCTAAGCGTTCGTGACGAATGAACCATATGCAAAGAAACCAGCCTCAATTCACGACCGATGCTTTCACAGCGTCAATACGGCGTGCAAGTACCTTCGTGCAGCTCGCGAGTTTGTTTATTCCTTGAATGCGCTGGTGTACTGTACACTTCGTCTCAAACAATAACGGCACGCGCTTTCGTGCTCATCGCCCGTTCCTTTTTTATTTACTTACCTTTCCCGTACACGACACACATTTTGGTGCGCTTGCACGATGTTGCTACTCTTCGTGCAGCTCGCGAGTTTATTCCTCGAATGCGCTGGTGTACTGTACACTTCGTCTCAATCAATAACGGCACGCGCTTTCGTGCTCATCGCCAGTTCCTTTTTTTTTTTTATCTATTTACCATTCCCGTACACGACACATTTTGGTGCGCTTGCACGTCGTTATCGTGACAGATTTATTGATATGAACAAATGTTTCCGAATCGTCTATTCGTGTCGAGCGTATTAAAATCCCTGTGTTCTTCCAGAGCTGTGCTGTTTGACGTTCGCTCGCTTCGTTAGACCACACATCCGATGGTATCCTCTCAAAACGTGCACTTTTTCTTTTTTCACTCATTGCACGCTATAAAATTTCATTCAGGTTTCTAGCAAGTCATACAAGTTCCTACCTCTTTTGAATGCACGTACATTTCGTTTGCAAAGGGTTAGTTGATATGAAAACAAATAAAAAGAACAATTCGCAAATAGTTCCATATCGCTTATTCTCAACAGGCTTAATCTCTCATTTTCAATAGGTGTTCCTGTGAAGAGTGCAAAACCATGACCACAGAAGAGGAGAGCATGTGCTGCCAGGAGGTGGTAGAAATCGTAAAAAAATTGAAAAATAACAAATGTGTGACGAAGAAGGCAATATTTAAACAAGCCTGCCTCAACAAGACTCTGCTCGACATCGCCTTGGCAAGCAGGAGGCACGACGGGTACAGACCCTGTTATCCGAAAGACAGGCCAGTATACCAATGTGCAGAGCATGACATATTTATTTCAAAGAAGCAATCACTGTTTCGTTTTTTTTTTTCAACAAAAAGCAATTATTTAGAACAATTTGTACAGTGAATGGTGCTCTCTGCATCAACTTAGGGAGTTGGTGCAGGGTACAGACCCTGTCAGATCACAATGCAAAAGAAAGAAATTATGCCACAGTGTATAACAACAAAAAGAATCCACTCAATATCTCACTTTTGTCTTTGTAGGCAGATGCGAAACATTGCATACAGGCAGTTTGCACTCCTAACATGGAAGCGCCTCGGCAAGGGGAATAGACGGATCCTTCCAAGCTGTGTCGTCAACAAGATCCGAACGAAGTTCCCATCAAAGGACCAAGCTTACACCGGGTTTCGGCATGTGTACTAAACCCCCCCCCAATCCAAGGCAGGAACACGTTTTCAATTCATTAAGGTTTATAGAAAAAAATATTCCCAATTAGGAAAGGCAGAAGATGTGCATAATAAATGTGAACCTTTCCTAATTTACAAACAGGATTGAAGCAAAGTTACAAGAAAAAAAAGGCCACACTGGTCCCAATCAGAAAGAAAAGCTGGTGTACCATAAATAAATACATCACTCGTGCAACAACTGGGCGAGATGATGCGACGTTGCAGGGCTTGCAGGTTGAGAATCCTAGAGTCGGGTGCCCAGTGAACTGAGGGTACTCCAGAATACATCTGCATTGGGAACAGGAAAAGTGGGAATACCAACAGTAAGCTTACTGGGACAAAGCAATAAAAGCTCCCAAATGTGATATGTAGCCTCATATAAAACAAACCTTATTTGTTGAACCTTGTTTTATGCCTTTCTATCAGCACCGCCTTCGGAACTTTCCTCGCAGAGCTGCAGAGTGGTGGTGGATCCTCGGAAGGCGTGATCAGAACGACGCCTCGAGTTTTCATCTGGGCCCCATCCCTGACCACATCAAGGAGCCTCCTGACGTAGTCTGTAACAAAATAGTTCAACATAATAAAATTTAGTTCATGTGCAAAGTGTCAAAACGTCTGCACGTAACTTTTCAGATTTACATAATCACCTTGACTTCAATGAATGGTATAACTATTTTAAATGTTGCTGTACCACCAGACTTCAGTACCAGTAGCCCCTTTTGCTTTCAGTTTGTAATCTTGAATTAAAACTGTGCAATCAAGCTAAATAAACAAAAAAAGCTGTTTGATGCATACCATATGTTCGTCCCTCTTTTCTTTTGACTGCCACTGGTTCCCCTCCATTAGCCTTGGGGTGCTTCACGTCATAGCACTTGTCACCCTCCTCTGTCAACGCTTGAGGTCGGTTGCCATTTTCGTTAAAATGGAGGACTGCCAGCTGGGTTCTGAAGAGAAACAATGATTTTCCAGAGATAAGTGTCAAGATGATCTCGCACCAACATCGTGCTAGGATGACCACGACATGTACAGAAATAGCAGTGTATAAATGTTTTTATTTGTATTCCTCACAACTGCCTTATTAAAAAATATGAAACAATTATTAGATGAAAATGACACCCATTTGAGGCTGCCACATGAAAAGATCTTGCCGTGTTACAACTCACCTTGCCGTCATCCCCTTGTACGAGTATTGGCATAACTTGGGACAGAAGTGGTTCAAGAGCCCATGAAACGCCTCCACGGTATATGTCTGGTAGTGCGTGGAGAGTTTCGGCAAGTCAGCCAGCAGGTATCGCTTGGTTACGATGGCTTGAAGCTTTTCGAAGGCCACAGAGTCTGGAATGAGCGCAATTGTGAGAGAAAAGACGGCTAGGGAGGGATGGTAAAGCGACCGGAAAGGATGAGTAGTAGTCAAGATTTGATACATACCATCAAACAGCCAATCTCTGGGCTCAAGCTCGCCGTGGGCACAGGAGGAAAATCGGGCGTCCGTGTGGTTGTGGATGTCCCGAACGTGGTTTAGGACGGACAGCCACTTAGGGACAATCAGGTCCGGATTTCCCTGGCTGGAAGCAGCCGCCCAGCATAGGTGGTTCTGCACTGGTCTGCTCCAGAGCGCAAGCTCGGCACAGGTGGGGCTCCTCATGGCCGCAACAAGCTCTTTCTTGATGCCTGAGAATAAAAATATGCATTTCTGAGAACAGCAGCACTTTATTCAGCTAAATGAGGAATTACAGAAGTTGTAATTCTTGTTTAACAACAAGAATAACTATTTGTACAGCCCGTTAATCTTTGGACGCTTCATCACGATTCATTTTCGAATAACTTTGTAGGCAAGCACACCAGACTGCAGCATGATGAGACTTTAAAGAGGAAGTGGGCCACAGTGGATAGACTTCAGAGTATGGAATAAATATCGACCTACGATAATGAGATAAATATAACAAATCTGCTTTTTTGACACTATCTTGTGACTTTTGTTCAAGCTTTATATTTGGGCTTAGCGAACTCGGGCATGCTGGCTGCACATAGTTCCAGAGGTTTTTTCTACAGCTTGCTACTTGTTGTATGTTTCAGCCATCTGTGGTTCGAAACTTTCAGCCAGCACACGCACTGTATTAAAGAGTTGTTTTAATTGCAATATTTTGTGTCCCATTAGCTACTAATTTCTTTTACAAAAGGAAGGCAGCTCTGGAGATTAAGAAACAGATTCCAAAACAGGCAAACGGTACCTTTCGAAACGTGCCACACGTCGAACTCGTGGCGAATCTCGGGCTTTTCCTTCTTCATGAAGGCTTTGCCTTGTACATGACGGTCGGTGATGAGGAGCTCCACGGTCAAGCCTTTCGCCTCCAAAAAGCTGAGGCTTCTCTTTAGCCCCTCCAGCTCCATGCGACCACTGCCGCCCACCTCATTAGACTGTCAAGTGAAAACACATTACATTAGGCACTACAGAGATAAAGTAGCCTATCAATATTTGAAATGAAAGGTTCAGACTTTCAAATTCGCTAGTACAGTCAACAGTAGACACTCTTCCTAAAGGTTTTTCTAAATGCATGTAAAAAACTAAACTGGTGCTCAGAGTGCTACATTCATAGCTGCACAAGTTCGAAATGAACAATCTTTGTGGTCTCGAGATCCAGCACAGAGTATGTGCCGAACTTGGCGCTGAACCCTGGCGAGTCGGCCCGACCATCCCCGGCCAGCCTTAGGGGATTGGCCCTCGCCTCTTCCAGCAGAGAAGTCTGTTCTTGGTTCCACACCTGCAAATAAGATAGTATGTCTACTTCGTAACTTTCGGCTTATATTGATATTTCAAGCATTAGACAAGCAGTGAGTGAGTAGGGTGTAAGTATCATTGGCTATGTGATTGAGCAGAAGCATGTCAACACTCACTCTACCAATAGCCGGCCAGAGGTGAGTCCGCTGTAGGGTGAAAAATGTAGAGCAGCTGACGACTTGCACACCAATGCTCGACAACATCCTCAAGGATGGAGTGGGGTTCTGCCCTGCGAACAGGATACCCGCGCAGAGCAGCAAGTTGAGAAGTGGTTGCTGATTCACGATCTCTTGGTTGACCCAGTAGGAGTGGTGGCCTGCAGGGCACTCAGAAAAGACCTCCACGACTGTGCCCACAGGTTCGATCGTCACATTGCAGCTGGCATAACACTCCGGACAGATCTTGAATAGTTGCCGAAATTTGGCCTCCGCCACCAAGAATACACGGTTGCCATGCCATGTTGTGTCTGTATCACTGGAGCTGTAAAAAGAAGAAAATTTTAGATTATTTAACCCTTTATTATGAGTTTGCAGGTGGGGTGGCAGTGTGATCTATTGGTACTTGATAAGGTTCATTCACTAATGTTATGCACAGGGGTGGATCCAGAACTCCGTTTTGGGGTGGGTTGGAAAATATGTAAGGATACTGTCCTCCCATTCATTAATATCACCAAGGGGATCCAGTTATGGCAAATTTCCCCCTTACAAGGGGGGAGGGGTGGGGGGGGTCGACTTTGTTTGAGGGAGGCGCCCGCCCCCCCCCCCCCCCTCGGATCTGGCTCTGGTTATGCCTCGCTGTAAAGTGATGTGTACAGTCAGAAAAAAAAAACTGCAGAGAACCCGGTGGGTGGTCTAATTCCTCGCTGGAGAACCATGGCCAAAGTCATGTTCCACAATCCTTATTCATTGAAAATAATGATTATGTAGAGGTCAGAGTTGCGTGTGTGAGCTGCACAGAACTGCCATGCTCATATTTTAGTCAACACGTCTCACCATATTACATCAGGCCATTTCTATGTCACTGATGTTCGCACAAGCTGAGCGTACCTTTCCTCATGGTCTTCCGAAGGATCGTAATCCTGATCTTGATCTTCCGAAAGAAGATTGAGATCCCTTTCCTCATCTTCCAAGTCGGTGCCAGGCTCTAGTTGGCTGATCTCGTCACTGCCGTCCCCTCGCTTGATGTTATTTGATTTGCAATTGCATGCACAGTTGACTTCTGTTTGTGTTTTCGCATGAGTGTACAGACGGGAAGCCTGCACTCCTGCAGAGAAATAATTTAATGATGAGAAAAGCGTAACATATGATTACTGCATTTCTAAAAATATGGACATTGTAGCAGTGAAGAGTAGAGTTTTAGTTTTGCATATTTGTTATTGTTGCGTTGCTAGCAAACCTCACACTGTAACTTTAAAGCAGAAATTAGTTATGTGCCCAAAATTCATAGCGTATGGTATATACTCAAACTCGCTAATTTCATTGACACTGCAGCAGGTGAACTTATGAAGCGAGACTGTCACATCATGTACACTGTTATAATCATTGCCACCTCAAGAAAAAAAAACATTTTGTGCATTGTTTGAATAGTGCATGAGCTATATAGTTCTTATAAGGTTTGGTTTCTTAGAGAAAGATACACATAAAAGTAAATTATTCATGCTACATAAGGTGTTAAAAGTTGTTTACTATGGTTCTCGTGGTGGAAATGAGTACTAAAATTCTAGCTTGCTTCAAAGCTAAAATTTTACTGGTATTCATTAGCTTACGCTAATACCAGTAAACATTTTTGTTCCTTTCATATATTACTTCACACATTCTGATAGACTGAGACAGAGTAGGGCAAGCCAGAGACTGGTGCGTGCTCTGGCTCACACTCAGACATATGTTAAAATAAAACTAGCGCTGATTTTGTTCCTAAATGAGTAACACCAATACACCTTCACTGCAGCATTCACGTACCAATGGATTTTGAAGGAGAACATGTCTCAACATGCTGCGACTTCATTGTGGGACCCACTACCACTTGTACACTTTTGTCACATGTGGGCGCCTTTAGATGATGTTCCGTGTCAACATGATGGACACGGGGAATACTAAGGTCCAGGCACTCATATGCTTCCTCGTCCTCGGACAGTGGCTCCGAGCAGCTTGGTGCCTCCAATGCTGGTTCTGCCAGGTTGTCAACAGCAACAAAGGAGG